CAGTTCCTTTTCTTGTGCCGTAAACAAAGCGTCGAACACGGTCGTTGCTAACTCGGTGTTCCCACCAGATGTGAGCTAAATTGCGAAGGCACCGGTGGTCGAACGTAACTAGCCTCTTCAGTTCCGCTGCTTTAAGGGACCAAGTTCCACAACCGTACAGTAGGGTCGAACGTACCGCTGCATTGTGCACTCTACCCTTCAGGGCAAGCGTGATGTCGCGCCGGCGCCATAAGTGGCGAAGGTTTGCAAAAGCAATTCGAGCTTTTGCTGTACGGTTCGTGATCTCATCTTCAATCCCATGGGCGCTGATACAACTACCCAGGTAGTTGAATTTGAATCTAGCTGATTCCCACCTAGGGTCAGCGAAGGAAGCGGTCCAGACCAATCTTGTAGGAGCGGTTTGCACTTCGAGGGTGCGAAGCAAAGCCCGAAGTGACGGACAGCAGTGCTAATCTGTCCAGTGCAGCGTGGCACGTCTGGGAGCTGTCACAGATTAGGGCAATATCATCAGCATACTCTAAGTCAAGAAGTCGTTCTCCTGGGAGCAGATCCACACATTCTAAGTCGTGTACAGTGAACGCGATTTCCATAACTTCATCATTAGCGAAGTTGAAGAGTAAAGGTGATAGCGGACATCCTTGTCTCACACCGCTGGAGATATTAAAGGGCGACGACAGCTTGCCGTAAGCCCTCACTCTGTCTGAGCTACGCGCATTTAATGCTCGGAGAATATTTACCTATTTCTCAGGTACACCTTTCCTGAGTACACAGTCCCAAACTGCACCTCTATCCACCGAATCGAATGCACCTTTGATATCGAGGTACATGACTACGGTGGGCCGCCAATATATGTGACGGTGCTCCAACAACTGACGCAAGGTGAAGATGTGGTCAATGCAGCCACGACCTCGACGAAACATACCACATGAGGATATTACTGCAGCTGTTAAGGTCTGCTGAATATGAGACCAGTGAGCTTCAGTTGCATCCAGTGAGCGTTTATCCAACTCGCATGACAGCGTACTTCGATACACATTCAGGACAGCTGGCTTTGTCAGTTGGCTGGTGTCAATGCGGTCACAACCTCGTCGTGGGTGTCCGCCAAAGCGCATCCGCAGGTCAGCACATCAAAATACATGGTCGGTGTCTACACATGTGCTCCAAATCGAGCGACAGTTCTGGACGCAGCCTCTCCATCGGTAACTTATCACAATGTGATCGATTTGCGTTCATAGATAGTTCGACGCTGGTGGGCGCCAAGTCACTCTCGGGCGGGTGCTATGTTGGAAATTATTACTCGCAAGAAACCAGCGAGCAGCTTCACACAAATGAAGTAACCGCTCACCGTTATCATTACGGGAGCCTAAACCATGTTGGCTGCCCAGATGCAGTTGATCGGTAGATAATTTTCCAACTTGAGCGTTCAGATCCCCAGCCAGCACTACAATGTTCGAGCTTCTTCCGTGGCTAAGGAGGTCGTTCAATTGACAATAAAAGTCGTCTTTTACCGAGTCATCGATAGAGTTTGTCGGTGCATAGGCAGCGATAACTGATAGACACCTGTTAGTCACTCGCGACTTCGAAGCTTTGAACGAGCCAGCCAAGCGGACCGCACACATCCGGCTACTGATTGGAATCCAATCAACCAGAGTAGCTTCAGCCCGGGGAGTCAGAGCAATACCAACACCGGTTTGGCCGGTGCTCGAAGGTGCATCGTCACCGGATAGGCGCAATGAGAAAATACTGCTAGTGTCACCTGAAAGGGATCGCAGAGTGAGCACAGAGCTCGAGTCTTGCAGGCGGGTCTCCAATAAGCAGCAGATATTGATAGAGAAGATCTCTAACGTTCGGGCAAGTGCTGCTGTTGACCGATCTGAAGCAATGTGCGTACATTGAGGCATGCCAATCTGAAGCATGATCGAGGGCTCCAAATGGAAGCTGATAAACTGGGTTTGGCTGATTGCTTGGACATGGGTCTGTTGACAGGGCAGGAATGACGCTCCGCGTTCACCTGTGAGTTGAAACTAAAAGACAAACGACTATTGAAGCAAGATGGGAGAGGGCCAAGAATTGGTGGGGTTGTAAACAGGGGGATAAAAGTGAAGCTGGAACAGGACGATAAGGGCAAAATATCGTAAGAGGGGGAATAAGAAGACTGGAAGGCCTGATCAATAACATCCAAACCCCTACCTACCCTGCTCGATGCAGAAGATAGGGCACCGTTGAATATCCTCTGCGGTGGTCAAAGCATCAGAAATTTGTTTGAAGAGAGATTCATTGTATTGTGAACTTATGTATGCGCCGAAAAGATATTGAAAAATCGACGGGTCGAATCGATCAAATACACGCCTCAGGATGCCTACGTGTTTGTCGCCCCTTCTAGACGCCTTTTCGACCTGAATCGAACATCCGTGATCATACTGCATATTTAACCTTGGGTTAATTTCCTGAGAAGCACGTTGCGACTGCTGTTTTCTTAGTTGATGGCCTAGTCACAAAACCTTGCATTTTGCCATGTTAAACTGGCGCTTGTTCTTGGATGATCACCTATAGCCCTTAATGAGATCGCTCTGCAGTTCCGCGTGATCCTTCACCCTCCTATGTCATGCGAAATCTTGGTATCGTCTGCAAGTGTTAGGAAATTAGACTGAGGTACGCTAGCAATATCAGCAATATCCTTCAATATTGTCAAAACCAAACCATGGTGGTTTCGTGTCTGTTTACACTATCACAGTCGGTTATGGATTGCATTCTAACGTAAGTTAGATGCCAGCTTGTTATACAACTTGCACCATTTTCTTGATGTCATGTATACCGGGTAATTTAACTGGATTGTCACTGCCTCTGCCTTTCGTCTTCCTTATCTGTGGTTGACTAATTACGGCATTCTTTACCTCTTCTGTGTGACGGCATTTGCGATGCAGGGTGCTCCCAGTGAAAAGCTTGAATCTGTTGTTCATTGGGGTAAAGATCAACGTTCCCCCAACACCGAAATCTCCTCCGATGCAGTCCCAACGATCATAGTGACCCACGTTTACTACAAGATAACCCACGTTCCCATTTGAAATTTGGTATCTCTGTATAAACACACCGGTTGTTCCCAAAACCTCGATAACTAATTTTTCTCCTTCCGTTTGCTGCAGTCGTCTAGGGTGCGCCGGCGTTTTTGACATTCGATCCAGTGGACGTTCATGGAAAGATACACGCTGTATGTTGCATTCAGTTGATCTATAGTTGGTAGGAGAACGGCTTCTATTTGGCCTCCGGCTGCGACGCTACTCGAAGAAGTCATATTTGACGAACGCTCTGGACCACACTGAGACCAAACTGAAGACCGCTAAATTGATAAGTGCATTCTAAATGGTCCACTATTTCAAGTAGTTGTCTTTTAACAACTATTCGTTGGGTGTAAGCGCAACTGGGCACTAAACCACCTGTGGGTTGTGAATTCGTTTAGCCTCTACCAATTATACGAACTAACAAGTCAAACCTGTTAAACGCTTCTTCAGGTTTCCGCCTTGACATTCGACCAAACAACAGTCCATCTGACTGAAGCAAAGTACCTTTGTTGTTTGGCGCTGTAATTATGATGATTTCTCCCCCCTATCTATATTGTGTTATCAGCTATTAAACAGTAAGTGAGTGATCGTTTTTTCTTATTGATTTTTGTTCGTTCCGTAAATTGTTGCTTGTTATGTCGGTTATTTTCGTCTTGTAAGTGACAACGCATTGTTATAAATGTGAGTGAACCTACACAAACCCCCTACTAATCACTTCACATAATTAGACTTCTTAACATCGTATACTGTCGTTAAATAGTATATAAATATATATACATATCCAACACCTTACCAATTACAATATAATTGGCTGAGTGCCACAACACATAAGAAGGAAAAAGGATAGCGTGAAAGGGAAAACTACTGCCAGGGAAGAAATGTCTCACGGTAAGTGCACCATTGCCTATGGTCCTTAGCGATATCCTCCAGCATTTGCAACCAAATGTCTTCGGGGTCCCTTGGTCCTCAACCCGGGAGTCGGGAACGCCGGACAACCGCCAGCTTCAACATTTGCACCTTAATGCATTGGATCCAAGTTTTGTATTGCCCTCCTTTTCGTCGTTTACAAGCCACGCCTGTGCTCACAAATAGGACTCGTCGTAGTAGCCGCTGGGTAGGCATGCGGAGCATATGCCCAAGCTAGCGAAGCCTCCGCAGTGAAATGATGCTGTCAATTGGTCGGCAGAGTTCGTTAGAACTGAAGACTCGTCGACGGACTTCCTGATTACTGAAGTGATGTTACCATCGAACACCAGCAATGTTTCTCAGGCGGCGTTGATCTAAGACAGATGGCCGTTGAACATCACTTTTGCGATCGGAACAAGCCTCACAGCCATACAGCAGAATCGCTCGTGCCGTAGCATTATAGACTCTTCCCTTGAGAGCGTGGCTGAGTTCACGACGAAACCACAAGTGATAAAGCTTAGCGAAAGAGACCCTAGCCTTGGAGACACTCAGGTAGATCTTATCTGTCAAACCGCCAGTACTAAGACAACTCCTAAGATAAATGAATTTTTAGATTACTTCCAGCGGATGCGTTGAAAGGGTGAGGGAAGGACATGCACTCGGCCAGTACTGTAACAGGACCTTAAATTTGGAAGGGGCAAAGTTCAACTCAAATTGGGAAGCGAACATCTTCAGGCTAGGTATATTTGACAGTGATCGGCACACCTCGGGACTCATGTTTTAGCTAACAAATCTTACTGACCAACGCAATAATCCGCCGGCAGTTTAACAAAATCCAATTACCTTGGAGCAGTGCTGGATCAGTTACTCAAATACTCATAAACCAAGCAAGTGTTGAGAGCTACGCGAATGCACATTCGGACTTAGATGCAACTGCTTACCTTTTTCGTCTTCGTTCGATTCTGTTTCGCGTTTTGTCATCCTTTCTTGTCACTTCAAACTGGTGTACTTTTCAATTTTCATCTTCCCTGCCAGACCCTGCGTCAATCCCTGGACAGACTTCGAAATCTGAGCCCTCCAACCATGACCATCGCAGTTGGCTCCATCTTGGTGGTTGGGGCAAGGATAAACGAATACGAACAGTAGCATCGCACGGAAGCGTCCACAAAAATATGCCGAGAGTTGCCGGGAATATACAATGGGCCAGTGAATTAACGAGACGCATAAGCATCCCAGTGGAAATGATCGGTCAACTGGATTTACCGTAAGTGCCGTGATATGCGTTAACAGACCGGTCCTTCAGGAATAAACGATTTATTCAGTGTTAGCAAAACATTAAAAATACTGACCTATTTGACCCATCAGCAGTTTCGATGTATATTGCTAGCCCAGGTCCATTAAAAACGACACTTTTGATCCAATGAGGTCCCTCCTGTGATTAAGTTATACACGGAAGCAATGGCTTGTAACAGGTAGAAAAACGTAGGCTTGACATGTCCCTTAAGCTGGTAAGGGAAGCAATTTTAGCGAGTAGGCTTTAGCGCGTGCCCGGAGAACGATTCAGAAGACAGATCGTGTTGCAGAGAAACTTTTATTGGTACAGTAAAAGTTCTCCTGTTGCCTAGCTACAAAATACGACACCGCTTCCGCAGTAGCTAAGGCAGCGTAGGATGCACAGCACGTAACGCAGTTGCGTGTTGCAACCGAAACGAGCGCCAAGCAACAAGGCGATGATCAAGTCAAGCATTCGAACTCAGCAATCAGTTCAACAAACCACACCGGTTGCTTACGTGTACAAAGAAATAATTTTAATTAGAATTTTACACAGGCAAGCCGGGGAAGCTCCAGGCTGCTACATAGCCCTCCCCCAGAAGGGACTGTGTAAGCAGTCCTTCGATCTACGTGCGGACTGTCCGTGGCGGGTCAGCCTTCTGCTAGACCAGGTTGTGAAAATTGATGCAGCTGCTGGGGGAGAAACATGCAACCGGACCCTAGCGGACTCCCACCAGTGTCCTCCTTACGGTGTCGAAACGGTAAAAAACTTTTTGTGGGGGATAGTTAGTAAAGTTCACGAATGCGGTTAAGCAGGAAGTTCGTTCCACTTCCAGCTGACGTGCGGAGATCCAACAAAAAGTGAAACGAAGTTGCAAGCAACCGACGGTGTATACGGAAAGCTAAATAATAAGGAGCAGCGTAAATGCATAGCAATACACAAAAGAGTGCAAAGCGAAAAAGATGCGAAGCTATTTTTGGGTCTTAAAAAGTTTTGCTCTTTTTTGGGAGGTTCAAAACGTTTTGGTCTGTTATAGGTTTTGAAAAACGTTTCGTAAGCGCAAGAAAATTTGAGGCGCAGGTTCTATGTACAATATCAAGCGCTAACAAAATCCCAAAAACGAGCTGGAGGTTTTAGCTTCCTACGACGTCGACTGATAGTAGGGCGAATAGAACTGCTGTCGGTTGAGGTTGTAGGTTCCGCTGAAGCGAACTGAATGTGCTGTGGTTTAGCTGCTAGGTTTGATGTCACAGTTTGTGAAGATCCTTGTTGCACCGAAGAGTCAGTCATCGAGGAATGCTGGTTTTAGTCGATCGATGTTGATCGTCTCAGTCTTACCACTTTACTCAATGGTAAACGTCTTGTCGCTTCTGCTTACGACATGGTATGGACCAGAATAAGGAGGTTGAAGTGGCCGGCGCACGTTGTCAGTGCGAACGAACACGTGAGTGCAAGTAGGAAGCCGTTCGTCCACATTTGTGCGCAAACTCTGTGCTCTGGGTTCACAGGCTGAAGCTGTCGCATGTGATGAGGTAGGCGAGCTGCGTGGTCGCCATAGTTGAAGATTGTTAGTGCTTTTGGTGACATAAGTTCACCAGACAAAGCGTTGTGTGCAGCCAAAGACTAGCGCAGAAGGAGTGGCGTGCAAATCTGCTTTTGTCGTGTTTCTTATGCTTAAGAAAACGAGCAGAAATGTTTCGTGCCAGGATGTGCTAGATTGGTCCCTGAGTGATGTTTTGAGTTGTCGGTGGAACCTTCCTACCATCCCGTTAGCTGCGGAGTGGTATGCGGTGGTTCGGTTGTGTTGGCAACCAAGTACATTGAGAAGTTTGCTGAAGGATCCATCAAAGTGTGGTCCTCTGTCGGTGGTGACTACGTTTGAGCAATAAAATTGAGCTACCCAGCGCTCTAGGAAAGTTTGTGCAACTGCCTCAGATGAGCACCTGGCTATCGGGATCGCTTCTGGCCACCGTGGAATCGGTTGATACAGGTGTTGAGGTACACTAGCTTTTGCATGGTGCCAAAGGTCCGACCAGGTCGACATGGACGTGTGCAAAACGAGAGTCAGGAGCGGGAAAGATGCCAAGTTGGCTTTGGTGTGTCTGTATACCTTGGCGCGCTGACACTCTAAGCATTCGCGTGCCCAAACGCGGGCATCGCGATTGACGTTGGGCCATATCAAACGTTCGTTTACGAGCTTCTTCGAAGCACGTATCCCGAGATGAGACAGGTTTTGTAAAGCATTGAAAACTACTCGGCGCGTCGTCCTATGAACTACGGGTCGGGGAGAAGTTTGTGAGACGTCACAAAGAATAGTCCCCTCAGATGAAGCTAGTGGAACCTCGCCTAGTTTCAAAGAGATGTTGCGTCGTAGCTTGTCCATGGCTGGATCAGCTTTCTGGACAGCAGCCATGGCGGCTAGGTCAATGTTGGTGGCAGGCGATAAGCTGATCTGATGCATGCGTGAAAGCGCATCCGCGACGAGGTTTAGAACACCTACGACATCTCTTACGTCTGTCGTAAACTGTGAAACATAGTCTAGATGTCGAGTTTCCCGCGGGCAATACTTGTCTATCGCGCCATTGATTGCGTAGATCAACGGCTTGGGGTTAATGAAGACGGTAAAGTATCGACCTACGTGATACTGACGGGAATGTCTGCTATCTATGTACATAGCGAGAAGCTCCCTACCGAAGGTGTTTTAACGCGATTCGGCAGATTGTAAACTTATGGGGAAGAAACCTAGAGGCATCCATCGATGGTAGATGAGTTGTTGGAGGACAGCACCGACACAGTGTCTTTTGCGTCAGTGGTCAAGGAGTGTGACGTTGATGTGTCTGGGTGGCCGAAAGGCGCTATGCTGGAGATAGCGTCTTTTAACTTCTCGAAAGACAGTCTAGCGTCGTCTGAAAAGTGAAAACTTTGGTACCTGCGTAGCAAGTCAATTATTGGTTGCATTATGCTCGCGCAGACCGAGGAAACGGCTTAAATGTTTGAAGGGACTAGGAGCAGGATAATCCTTCAGTGCCTGGATTTTGTCTGACAGGGCTTCAATGCCAGAGGAGGCTATTCTGTGACTAAGAAAGTTGATGGAGCTTTAGCCCAGTTCGCATTTGTCGGGGTTTACGGTAACGGATATTGCGTCAAGCGTTGAAAACTGCGTCTAGGTGATGAAGATGTGCATCGTCAGAAGAGCTGGCGATGCGATTGTTATTTAGATAAGGATAAACGCCTTCGAGTCCACGCGTTACCTTATAAATGCAACGCTGAGATGCTTGACCAGCGTTGCTAAGGCCGAAAGGCATTCCGAGGTATTCAAATAGGCCAAACGGCGTGATGACCGTTGTTATACCAATATCGTCTGGCGCCACAGGTATTTGGTGGTAGTCGCGAACTAGGTCGATTTTTCTAAAGCTCGAGTTAACAGCTAGAGCTGTGGTTAAGTCGTAGATTTGTGGAATGGAGTATTTATCCGGGACGGTAAATTATTAAGTGCTCTCTAGTCACCACAGGGGCTCCAGTCAGCTGCTCTCTTCGGCACCATGTTTAATGGTGATGCCCATGCACTTTTGAACTGGCCGATTCATTCCAGCTTAAGCAATTGCTTGAATTCCGTCTTAGCAACTTTGAGCTTGTCCAGGCTACTCTGCGACGGCGGGCCGAAACAGGTGGACCCTTAGTACAAATGTGATGCATGAGGTTTGACGACACAGGAGGCAAGTTGTTCGGAACGCAAACGAGTTTAGCATGCATGTTGAAAAGGTCTATAAAAGGCTGTGAAGCTTGAGGTAGGACACGAATGGGACTGATAGCAGCCACTTTGGCGACAGTCCCGATAACTCTGAGCTGTGCCCTAGAGTCGATAAGCTTTTTCCTTTTAGCGTCGACCATAAGGTCGAAGTGTTGAAGAAAGTCTGTGCCTATATATAGCGAAAGGCACGGCTGCTACTATGAAAGGCTAGCGAAAGGTTCGCCGGAGGCCTAGATTGAATGTTAGCAACCTTTCGCCGAAAGTTGCGATTGGTGTGCCATTGGCGACGGTGAGACCACCTCATCTGAGCTCCGAGGTATAACGCTAACTTCGGCTCTAGTGTCGACAAGGAACTCGGTACCGGAAGTTAAATCCCCAAAGCGGATGAGGCAACTTTGGTGTTTGCCGGTCGCGTCCGTCACCCTCACGGGCCGGCCGAGCATTTTCCCTGCTTCTGTGTGAAGATGCAAGGCTTTATATACTTACGTGCTGCAGTACCAAAGCGTTGATGATACCAACAGTGAACTTGCCTGCTGCTGGATTTGGAGCGCTTTGATGGTGATTTTGATCGGCTGTGGCGATGACAGTTCATAGTGAGCTGTTGGACTTGGCGACTGTGTCGCAACCTGTGTTTGCAGGGCTTCCAAAGTTGACTGTAAGCCAAAAGTGCCCTGGGACGCGAGGGCATTGACCTTGCTGGCTTCGGCTAGTAGCTGTGATCGTTCGATAACCCGATCTGCTTAGTCAGCTAGTTGAGTGGACGAAACGGAGCTCACGATTGCTAGAATCGCTTACGTGTTTTCCGGTAGCGTTTGTAGCCACAGTTCGTGAAGTAGTCTCGTCCATGGTTGATGAACCAAGGAGTTGCTGCATCTCTCATAGCAGGGTTGAGGGCAGTTTGTCTCCCAACTGCAGATCCCTGTAAAGTTGCTGTAAGTGGACTTTCTCGGAGGGCATGGTGCGTTTAATAGTGGACTCCGTGAGGGTCTCATAGCGGTTTTCGGTCTGAGAAATGGTTACGTCTCTGACGTGCACGGGTATCTTCTTCGTGAGATGGGATATGAGCTTGCTGTACTTCGCGTAATCGGAAGTAATTCTGTGGTCATAAAACTATGCCTTAAGAGTAGCGAACCACAAAAGAGGATACATACGAGAGGCTCTACCTTATGGTCTACAGATTCCATGGTTTAAAAAGGGATGCAAAAATGTGCTACCGTATGCAAAATAAACCGGAAAATAC